GCTGAAAGCCCTATGAAGCGGTATATAAGTCTAACTGCTATTGCTATTGCTATAAAATGAGAGAAAGAATTAGAGAGAAAGAGGAGAGAGAGAAAACAATGAGAAAGAAAAAGAGAGAAAGAGAGAAAAAAACAAGAGAATGAGAGAGACAGAGAAAGAGAGAGAAAGAGAGAAAAGAAAGAGTGAGGCAGAGAGAGAGAGAGAGAAACAGACAGAGAGACAGAAAGAGAATGAGAGAGAGAGAGAAAACAAGAAAGAATGAGAGAATAAGAGAGAAAACAAGAAAGAAAATGAGAGAAAGAGAATGAGAGAGAAAGAGAGAGAAAAAACAATGAGAAAGAAAAAGAGAGAAAGAGAGAAAAAAACAAGAGAATGAGAGAGACAGAGAAAGAGAGAGAGAAAAGAAAGAGCGAGACAGAGAGAGAGAGAAACAGAGAGACAGAAAGAGAATGAGAGAGAGAGAGAGAAAACAAGAAAGAACGAGAGAATAAGAGAGAAAACAAGACAGAAAATGAGAGAAAGAGAATGAGAGAGAAAGAGAGAGAAAAAACAATGAGAAAAAAGAGAGAAAAGACAAGAAAGAGAATGAGAGAGACAGAGGGAAAGAGAGAGACAAGAGAGAAAGTGAGAGAAAGTGAGAAAGAGGGAAAGTGAGAGAGAGAAATGAGAGAGAGAGAGAAAGAGAGAGAGAGGAAGTGTGTGTGAGAGAAAAAACAATGAGAAAGAAAAAGAGAGAAAAAACAAGAAAGAGAATGAGAGAGACAGAGGGAAAGAAAGAGAGAGAGACACGAGAGAAAGTGAGAGAGAGAAAGTGAGAAAGGGAAAGTGAGAGAAAGAGAAATGAGAGAGAGAGAGGGAGAGAGAAAGTGTGAGAGAGAAAGAGAGAGAAAGAGAGAGAAAGTGAGAGAGAGAAAGTGAGAAAGAGGGAAAGGGGGAGAAATGAGAGAGAGAAAGAGAGAGAGAGAAAGTGAGAGAGAGAAAACAATGAGAAAGAAAAAGAGAGAGAAAAAACAAGAAAGAGAATGAGAGAGACAGAGGGAAAGAAAGAGAGAGAAACGAGAGAAAGTGAAAGTGAGAGAAAGTGAGAAAGAGGGAGAGTGAGAGAAAGAGAAAGTGAGAGAGAAAAAACAATGACAAAGAAAAAGAGAAAAGAGAAAAAACAAGAAAGAGAATGAGAGAAACAGAAAGAGAGAGAGAAATGAGAGAAAGAGAGAGAAAGAAAGTGAGTGAGAGAGAGGGAAAGAGAGAGAGAGATGCTTTCCTAGAGGCACAGAGAATGAGAAAAATAATTCTTAATGACCACAACTGAACTTGTTGTGCTTCATTGTCTGGGCTGATTTTTTTTATCTCGGTCAAAACCGCCGTGCCTGGAGGATCCCTTGATGTGGGTGGGAGCTGTGGGAAGAAATTCCATGGATGGCTAGACTCACAATTTCCCGCAAAATCTCCGCTCTGCTAGGAATGCCAACAATTTCTGCATCCTTTTCTTCCCCGGTTTTCAACCTTTGGGGAATGCTGAGGAAAATGGCCAGACGTAAAATACGATGATTTGGACAGGATTAAACAAAATCCCATCTTTTCTTGGTTTTCCTTCATGTAGAGATGACGTCCTCTGTCCAAGGTCAGTTTGAAGATGGGATTCTTGACTTACAACTACAGCTGAGAGCAAAATGACCCTTACTAAACAAGGCAGCGAAGTGAATTTGGACCCATTTTACAACCTTTCTATTGGTCCCTCCCCCTTTTACTACAAGCTCTTATTCTTTTC